AGTTCTTGAAAAGATAGTGTTATCTAGGATCGAGCATTTAGCAAAAAACTCTGAATCCATATTCCTCACGGCAGACAAAATCTCTTGTTGATTTTTTAAAAAAGACATTAAAATATGTAGATCGAAACTCCAAAAAATTTCAAGTAATTTTTTAATGAAATATTTTCTTTGACTTATTATTTAAACCAATTCCTTTTTTTTAATACAATCTATCTACAATCTATCTACATATATATTTAGGATATAATTATTGCGGTATCAAAATGTTTTCAGAATGTAGTTGAGTCTCTTGAAACAATACCTGAAAACATAAATATACAATTTTCAGGTCCACATGATTCTATCTTAATAACACGAAATCGCTATTTTGGTCGCAAATATAAGGTTAGAGAAATGTACCTTCATGACTAAAGTATCATTCATGTTTTCATCAATTATATCAGTCCTTTCTTATCTTATTTAAATAGCTGCTGGAAAACCTTATAATGTGGAAAGAATTCGTTCCTATAGATATAATTCGATCGTTATCCATTGATTATTTACTTAATCGACATTTATTACATATTTTAAAGAATTCATCGTTAAACACAGATAGCGCAAAGTATCAAAAGGTAAGGAGTAACTTTTATAATTTATTATATATAATAATATAATAATATTTATATTTGGTTTATTGTTAAATTGTTTAGATACTTATAACTATCCCTAGCGATTGGCTTCATCCTTCATCATTAGAAACATTAGCACGTGGAGCTGCAGGGTATTGAACTTGTTTACATAATAGAGTTTTTTGGTGCACTCAAAATTAGCCAATCAAAATCCGATTTTCAAGTTTGCATCACATGCATCAGTTTTTTTGTTGGTGCATTTGATGCATCAAAATTTGCATCAACCAAAATTGAACAGGCCTAATAAATGTTATTATCCTTACTACTGATTTATATGAAATTTATAAAATTATATTAAAAAAAATAAAGTATTTAAAATGAGTTTTTTTTTGGAATTATTAAATAGATTATAAAAATAGTAAAATAATCCTATTTATTATGTTAAATTATTAGCTATATTAAATAATATATAATCAAACCTTTCTAAATGTATTCTCTTATAATTATAATAAAATTTTTAAGAATATATATTTAAAAAGTAAATTTATAAAATATATATTTAAAAAAGATGTATTTAAAGAGATTTAACTATAATACCTATCAAAAATTAGTTAAATCAATAAACTATATTTATAAAGTATTAATTTAATTTTTTATTTAAATTAATCTAAATCAATACTGATTTTTAATATAAAATAAATGTGAAAAAAGCAGTTTTAAAAATTTTTAATTTAAATTAAGACTTAATTTAATATAATTAAAGATTAAAATTCAATAAAAATTTTAAAATTCCAATCATTTTATATAATAATAATATAATTTTTAAAAATATACTGTACTATTCTAAAACTAAACAACCTTTAAAAATAAGTAACTACCAAATTAATATAGATTTAAAAATAAGTAACCTTTAAATTTTTGTAATAAAATATAATAAAAAATAATAATAAAATTTTAAATATAATTAATAAATTTAATTTTTTATTATTTTCTATAAAATTTTATTTTTATTTATTATAAACTATTATATTATTATTTATTAAGACTATATTTATTGTTATTAATAATAATATTATTATCAATACTACTACTGATATTACTATTATTATAAATACTATCTATATTATTATTAACATCAATAATATTATCACCAGAATCTTTATTATTAGTAATTTTATTATCTAATTTATCAATAGTCAAAATTTATAAACCTTAAAAGATTTTATAATCATTTTATCTGAGAATTTTTCTCAAATATATTTAACTCATTTACAATATCAAATAACTTAGCATGATAAAAGTTTTTAATATAATTAATTTTATATTACCTTCTGTTATTCAAATATTTTATTTCTTACAAAGATTATCTTTAAATAGCTTATTAATAGTTATAATATATTAAATAGTTAATTTATACTAATTAAATAACTATTAAATTAATACCAAATATCACAAAACTTAATTTTAACTAATTCTTCAAGATGTTTTTTGAAAAAATTATATATTATCATTATTTAAGTATTATTAATTCTTAGATTATTAATAAATTTACATATTTCTTTATTAAAATAATATTTATCTATCCATTTTGCTAAAATTAAACAATAATATTAAATAGAATCTATTTATCACATGATAGTTTTTTTTCTTTAAAAATATAAATTAATGAAAATTTTATTCTACCTATAAAATAAAAAATTGGATAAGTAAAAAAAGTTAAATAATATATACCTATAATACATGTCAAAATAATTGTAAATCAGTTTTTTTTATTGCTAATTCTGTAAATATAAATCATTTTTTATTTATATTATTAATAATAAAGTTTTCTACTATATTAAATTAAACATAAGTTTTATTCATATTAAAAATATAAAATAACTTAAATGTTTTTTCAATCTTAAAACGAATGATAAATTGATAAAAGTTTTTTAATAACTTATCAGTTTATAATGAAAGCTTTTATAAAATTTTAATATATTAGTATCAAGAAAAATTATAACTTTTTATAAATCCAATAGTTTAATACTTTAAATTCATTTGTTAAATCTTTATTAAAATTTATTATAGCAGATTCTTTTAAAATATTTAGCATCTTAACTAACGTGATAATATATAAAATATCTAATCTTTGCTTTTTTCTATTCAATAATCTAATTATATAAATCTTTTTTATTTTCTAAATAAATATATTTTAACCAAAGCTAATTGTTTATTATTTTATCTTAATTCATTTACCTATTTTTCTTTTATTTTGATTAAGCAACTAACTATACTTTTATTAAATTTAAAAGAATTTGTCCTTTAATTATTTTATTTTTTTAGTATAAGTAATAATTTATTTCTTTTACTTAACGGTATATAAATTGCAATATCATTTAATTATTTTTTATTAATAATACTTAAATGTTTTTGTTTTTTTGAAGCAGCATTTATGTAAATTTTAAACTGATTTATCAACAAATTCATGATTTATCATTATTATATATAATTAAATTTAATCATGATATTATATTATATTTTATAAGTAATTTTATGATATTTAACATTTAAATGCATAATTTTTTTATAAATAAACTAGTATTTCTAAATCATTTTGAATAGGTTAAAGTTTTTTTTCAATTTTTATTTTAAAAAGTATTTAAAATTAAATAACTCTATAATAAAAAAGCTTGTCTAATTTACGAACAGTATAATAAATATATTTTTATTATTAGATTAAGTATTTTATTTTTTATAATAAAATTATAAAAGTGTATCTTAATAAGTAATCTATTATTTAAAATAGGCAGTTCTGTAAAATTTAAACCAAAATTGATAATTATTGTATATTTCTGAAAATAAGCATTTTGTAATATGTTCTTTTTATAGTAATTTATTTATTTATCATATGGAATTATTATATTATTAGTTACATATATACTAATAAATTCATATATATCATGTGATGCTTATTTTAGGACTATACGATATATAGGTTATTTATAATAAAAAAAAAGAAAAACTGTTAAAAAAATCAATTTTATTTTTATATGACAAATATGATTTTTAAGTCAAAATATAGGGGTTAATCTAAGAAATCAAAGTCTGAACTTAATAAATTATTAGAATTAAACCTTGATTTCTTAAATTAGCTCCTATATATTTAGATTTAACATTAATTTATTTATTTTTTTTTTCAGCCTTTTTCCTCTTTTCTATTATAAAAGTCTTATATAATCAGTAATTGAACATTTAAACTTATAAATAATTTGTGTTAAATTAACAAACTTACTTCAAAAATATATGACAATTTTATAGCAAATTCATAAGCTTATCTTATAACTATAAAACTATTAAATAGATATTTATAATTAAATTATTTTATAATAATTTTTTTCTTACTTTTTTTTTAATATCGGATTTTTTTTATTATAAGAATAATTATGATACAAAATAATAATATAATTCTTATATTTTTAAATATTCTTTTAAATTAAACATATCATAATAATTATATATAATTATATAAAAATGTAATTCATATTTATAATTATAATAATTAATTACCCAATTTGTAAAAAATATGATAATTATATAATTAAATATAAGATGGTAAATAATTACTAAGTGATGATTAATTATAAGCAAAAATTATTTATTGTAGATGTAATTAATTACAAGATAGTAATTAATTATAGGATGATAATTAATTACAAGATAATAATTAATTATAGGATGATAATTAATTATAAGAAATTATAAAATGCATAGTAAATTTTATTAAAAATTAAATAAAAATAATTTTTAAAATATTTATAAAAACAAAAAAAAACATTAAAATGTTTTGTAATTAATAAAGAAAACTTATAACCATGAGAAATCCATTGATTCAAGTTTTCAATTACATTTGTTATTCTTTTTTAATACAATTAATAAAGTTCCATGATTTAAATATCTCAATATAAAAACAAAAGCAAAATTTTCTGAAATTTACTTAAAAAAGTTTTAACTTGTAAATACCTAAAAATTCCACAGAACATGATCTTCGAAGATTTTTTTTTTTTCTATTTGTATAAACAGATAAGTAGTTGGTTGAACAGTCTAATGATGATAATTATTATCATAACATAAAATAACTGATACTAATCCTAAAATATAAGTGACACGGTCACTAATAAATAGATCGGACGAACAAAAACCACTCATCTAACATAAATTTCATTGAAATTCGACTAAAAATCATATTAATTAATCGATTCACCACCTTTTATAACTCTATCTGTTTCTAAATCTGGTTCATTAGTTACATCTAATTTTTGCCCAACTTCCTCAAAACATTCTTGATCTATTGCACAGAAACATTGTACTGGCGCTCCGGAAACTTCACCATTATTTTCCATGCATTTACAAAGTGTTGTATCTTCTGTAGACCCATAATCACTTGAGCCTTCATCGACTTCTTCACCACATGTTGAAGAAATGGGTGTGTTAGGAAGTTGAATAGGTGTCAATTCAAAAGATTCTACTTTTTTCTTAAGGACTGCCCTCTCTGCCTAGATTTAACAAAAAAAAAGAAAAATAAATTATTAATAACAATACGCAAATTATGATAAGAATTCAAAAGAAAGGAAGAAATTATACTTGTAATGCTCTGCATAAATTTTCCAATTTTGACTGCTTTTTCTTTGAATCCTCTATAGTTTTCTGATCTCTTGCGCGCTGATGTATAGCGGTGTACCGAAAAAATGTAGATTCGGAATTGATATATTAGCATATCTTTAACCAAATATCCACATAATTAACAAACAATAATAATAACACAATAAAAAGAATGACAATAATATAATAAAATAATAATACGAAAGTTCATATAGGCGCCACGGTTTCCCAATTATTTATATAGATATTACCTCTTCGGCCATCTCTAAAATGTTCTTATTCATTGTGTCACATTTCCCTTTGATAGACGAATTTTCTTTTTCAAGTTTCTTCGTTTTTTTGGTCATCTACGGTATAAAACGCCTATAAGAGAGTAATATAAATGCATCTGTTTTAAACTGATAAATCACAAACAAAATAATCAAACCTGTTCCATTTCTTTGCGAAAGTTAAGGAAAAGATCATTGCTTTTATTTAGAGTCTCTTCAACTTGTTTAAACTTATCCACGTATACATTAAGCTGTTTACGTAGTTCGGCTTCCGTTTTAGTAAAGGTTTCAACTTGCTCCTTCAAAGAATTAACCTATAGAATGACAAAGAACAACTACTTATAAATATGAATCATCTCAAATTAAATTC